TGTTTTTCTGTATATATCCTTGACAATGATTTTTTAATAAATCGAAACGTTGGAAATTCAAAATGATTAAAACCGCTGCTTTGGTTATACTTTTCTTAATGAAAACTCTACCAATTACATACAAAAAAAAAGGTCGATATTTTTCTCATAAAGCTCGAACTATACATTCAAACTTAATCGGAATTTTAGAGATTGTCGAGCACGTGATTAAACAGATTTGGTAGGAATTTGAGCATATTATCTTTTAAACTGACTGAGAAATTACAGTCGGAAGCGAAAAAATGTGATTACGATTATTTTGGTCTAGTTACTGTTTTCGACAAGTGCTTTGAACAACACATCACTGACTCCATTTCTCAATTACAAAAAATATCTGACAGAGTCACCCTGCTAGGACACATTTTTCAAAACTAAAATGTCAGCATCGTTTATGATTGACTTATTTTCAAGTTCATTAATGCACGTTGATAAATCCAAATGTATATCAATTTTAAATAAAGCATATTTCGTTGTTGTATGTGTTAGTTTCAATTCATTTAATAAATAATCTAATGCTCTACCTAATGGCCATAATTTTGAAAAAAAAAATGGATAACGTTTTGTGTTGAATTCAATAAATACATGTGATCGTGCTTCTAATGGTACCCCTTGAGGTCCTTTGGCCGTCTGTTTCAGTTTCATCAATGCCACTTTATTTGCTAATGTTTCATTTTTTGTACCTTGAAATTTTTCCGAATGAAATTCCGTATTTACTTTTGCCGTTGTTTTTGATGGAAGTGGAGATGATGAGAGCTGTCGTTGTTCTTGAAATGCACATTTATGATCATCAAAATGACGATGTTTAATACAATAATTCTTTTTACATTTTGGACATAGAAACTCAATTGGACACTTTTCGTTACATAACTCGAATGAACAAATAAGCAACGAAGGAGCTGAGCTTGATTGTAAAACATCAATTTTATTGTCATTTTGGTTTAAAATCGAACAATTATGGTCATTTGATGATCCATGATTTTTACAATAGATTTGTTGGCAATGCTGACAAAAGATTGGCAAAAAATCAAGTTGATTGCATAGTGGATAAGAACAATGTTTGCCAATTAATTCAGCCATTAAATATAAATCTAAAACTTATAAAGTCAAACATTAAGTCTTAAAATTAATTGACATCTTCTTTTCAGAGGACAGATAACGAATAGAAATCATGAATAGATTATTTGATTACAACTATATGTAACTAGGAGATTGGTGCTAAAACTGCGCACACTCATCCACATCCACAGATCCACCGCAGTTGAAAGTTCTTTGATTTCAACTTGAAATTAATCAAAAGTGGACTGTAAAAGTTCCTGTTGCGTTGATTTAACGCTAACTGACAACACAGTTACTGTTAAAACAACGGTAACTGGCTTTTCAGTTATCGTTGTTTTAATAGTAACTGTCTTTCTAGTTACCGTTGAAATAACGGTAACTATCAGTTAGTTAACTTTATGGTAACTATTTCTTAATTATGGCAGAAATAAATAGGCAGCGGCTTAAAATGGCTTCCAAAATCATTAATATTCCACTAAAACTGTTGAAACTTTCATAAATGATATGACTTTGATTGACACACACGTGCCAGTCGACCAAACTAATCAAAATTATATAACTTCAATGTTTTGTAACTGCGGTTTTTAAGGTCTCTGGAGACCTCAGCATCTACAGCCAGCTTGAGAAATCTTTTTGCTTTCATCAGCGAAATTAGACTACAAAATCATGTCATTTATGAAAGTTTCAACAGTTTTAGTGGAAAACTGACGATTTTAGAAGTAGTGGCGCAACCAGGAATCCGTGGATGGTAGGGCAGTGCCCCACAACCTTTAAAAAAATCCATCCACGATAGTTTAAATTTTTTCCACAACTGAAATACAGTTGCTTAATTCTCACTGTCTTAAGAGAGAGGCAATATACTGTATCTGAACTTTTATTAAGTGAAATTATGTGGACAAAAAAGAAAAAGAAAATGAAATAAATAAACAAATAATAGTTATTTCAACATTATTCGACAAAAATCTTAGTGGAAATAATTATTTTTTGTTTCTCTCGGTGCCCGGTCTAGCCCACTCCTGGTTACGCCACTATTTGGAAGCCATTTTAAGCCGCTGCCTGGATATTTCTGCCATATTTAAAAAATAGTTACCACAAAGTTAACTAACTGATAGTTACCGTTATTTCAACGGTAACTGGAAACGCAGTTATCGTTAAAACAATGGTAACTGAAAAGACAGTTACCGTTGTTTTAGCGATAACTGTCTTTTCAGTTACCGTTGTCGAAAACGGCCGAAACGGCCGTAACGGTTTCACAGTCCTATTGTATGATTTAATTAATAGCTGATCGCACATATAGAGTATATGATATATATATTGCAAAGCTAAACTAAGTTAAAAGAGTACAATGTATCTGTATATAAAAATACTGAATCAAAAATATAATTTATTATAATCAAATATGTTTCTATATTGAAAGGATGAACGTATACCTTGCTATCATAAAAACACAAATGAGTATCGTTACTAGCGGCTCGTACGTCCACGATAAACGCAATGCCTCTATCATATTACTACAAAATATGTACAGATTTTTTTTCATTGTAACAATTCTCTTGCTCTATTGTTTTAAGATGTTTTAGATGCTCCAGATGATTCTGACTTCCTATATTTGTATACTCATAATTTCTTTATGGTATTAAAATATGTAATTTAAAATCTGAAAATTTTATGCGATCGATTGAGAGCTGTATTTAACAGAAAAAAGTCTCAAATCACAAAAGGAATTCATATATAAAGGAGTAGTCCGCATAAGACTTGAAATCGGCCCACTAAATTATTGTTATTTTATTGCCTCAAAGTATCCAGAATTCATCAAACTTATCTTATTCAGTGCTTTCGACTTTATAAAGTCGAAAGCACTGAATAAGATAAGTTTGATGAATTCTGGATACTTTGAGGCAATAAAATAACAATAATTTAGTGGGCCGATTTCAAGTCTTATGCGGACTACTCCTTTAGGTTTAGGATATTTATACATTTTCTCTGATCCGTCCTTTCAAAAGAAAATGTGTAAACTGCGACAACTTTTTAATCTTGACGTAGCGCAGTTGGTAGTCTAGTTGTGTTGTTTTGGAACTGTTCCTGCTCCAAGTAGTGTAGCCAGGAAACAATAATACTTGTTTGGTTGTTTCCCGTCAAAAATGGCCGCCGTTTGGTTATTACAAATATAAAAAAGGAAAAAACAAATTTGATTGATCAATTTTTTGAAATCCAGTTCGTAGAAAAATCTATCAATCCAAACAGAGAAATCGATCTACAACTGAAAGGTTGACTATAGTCAACCTTTCAGTTGTAGCGACATATATGTCTGTCGCTAAATTATCATCTTTTCTCATTGGCTTGTACCATTTCAGTGAGAAAATATAACGACGCTCGTTTGTTTTCTTTTCTTTTCTCTGAAGAATTTCTATAACGAGAAAATAGCATATTTATTTTCAAAAACTTTGACCGGTAAGAGACCGGTGTTTTTTGCTTTCTGTTCGATATAAATATGCTATTTTCTAGTTATAAGCCAAGTCAACCGATCCCGGTCCAGCAGTTTGACTGAAGCCGTTCCAACCGGCCGGTTGATAAGTCTCAACCGGAACGGGCGCCCAGTCCTGTTGCATCTCTGTTTGTGCAGATTTATCGAAATCTGTCAAGATTCTGAATGAAAAGCTATGCTGCAGATTTTCCACAAGTTTCGTATCATAATCTATCGTGATAAATCTTGAGCAGATCTTGTCAAGATATTTCAAGAATTCTGAAATGATTAATTTAATACGCAATAATCAGAATCTTCATTATGAACCTACCGCCATGGTCGATGACGTCATAGCTTTTAGTCGTCAGAAGCTATCTTTTCTGTGGCAAAATTTTATTCAATGAGTCTGTTGCAAATAAATACTATTTGTTACAGCTATTCATGCTATTGATTTGGTCTGGAAAAAAATTAATAGAAAAATCCAATGAAGAGTTCCATGGTTTACTGCTGTGGAACAGTAGATTTTTTTTCATATATTTACTCTACTCCACCATTGCCCAGCGACACCTCAACAGTGAGGTTGATTGCAAAATGACTAAAAAGTTTCCGGTCCAAAGTTTTAGAGAAATTCTGTCTTTTGATAATAAACGTTTTCTAGTTTTAATTTGACGAAAAGAATTAGCCACACAAGTTTTTATCTATGACTCCTCGAAGATTAAAAAATCAAGAAGGGAAGCACTTTTTTGCCGTTGGCGGGTGGTTCATTAACAGATTTGTGAATTTGAAAGAAAATCTTAAACTTTACTTTCTACTTTATCACTACAGTGCAAGCTCTATGGTACTATGTATACAGTACCAGATCTGTTGAAAGTGCACGAGCAACCATACATTCAAACACAATGTTTGAATTTCACTTTCAAAATTTTCAATGTTCTGTAGTCCAAGTATTTATTCTTGAATATGCAAGACCAATGTCAAACAAAATGGTGATTGAAAGAATAACATATTTATTTGTCTCCCCTATAGACCAACAGAATTTTAAGAGAAGTCCTATGCACTGTAGTGCTACAATAACTATAAATAAATGGAAAGTTGGCATATTTCCATTTTTGTCGAACCTCTGAGTCATATCGTATAGGTGGAACAAGATCTCTTAATCTTAGTCAAGGTGCTAAGGAGCTCTATCAATATGCCATCACAAATACAAATTGTATTTGTGTTTTGTATTAGACATTGTATTATACAATGCATGTCACTGCGGAAGACATCCCAGAGAAAGATAATGTTGAAGCCGACTGGGCATCGAGATACTTAACGGACAGCTCCGACTGTGTGTTTAGTCACGCACATTTTTAATCAAATTCAACAGCAATTGGAACCATTTGATATCGATCTTTTTGCCGATCGCCTGAATACTCAGCTTCCAAAATTTGTCAGCTGAAAACCAGACCCAGATGCCATGGCTAAGAATGCATTTAGTATAGAGTGGAAAACGTTCTCTCCATATCTTTTTCCTCCGCTTTGCTTGATTCTACGAGCACTTAAAAAATTAGCTAAAGAAAAAACAACCGGTGTTATTTTCACAGCTGTATGTTTTACCCAAGTCTTTTGTCTTGTTTAATGTGAAACAGATAGAGTATGTCCATGTATGTTGATGGTTATCTGTTTTTCATTACACACATTTCGATTCTGAATTTGAATTTCTGTTTTAATAGATGATGTTGGTGAAGATTTGTTTCGACACTGGAATAAAACATTATATGCAATTTTCATTTCAGTTTAGAAACGTCATTATTTGATTTCAGGAAAAAATGTATGAAAACTGTGCATGTGTCGTCTTATGCGATGGTCACCAGAAGCGAAATGGACTCGTATGTTCTTACAATAACGCTTATGATACAACTGTACCAGAATTAGCACCGGCTCTTATTGGTTGTATGGAAACCCTTGTCGACCGAACGGTCTTAGACTTATTTAACTGAATTTGTTCCTTTTCTGAATTTAGAACATAACAATAAATATTTTTTCAAAGATCGTCAACTGCAGCCAGATATTCAAGAGACTCAACAGCATCGACAACATTTCGTACAAATGAACATGAAACATCGTCAACACAATCAATATTACCATAATTGTTACGAAGAAACATTCGCAACAGCAATGTTAAAAACATGTATAATTCACCTCGATTAAAGATCCATGTCTCCATAACAATAACTATCCCCAGCACACAAAAAAATAGCGCTGATCACGCGGTTGTCGGCGGCCCAAGCGGCCATTAGTATCGGTTGTCGGCGGCTCAACGGTCACAAGTAGCGATTGTCGGCGGCTCAAACGGCCATGAGTACCGGTTATCGACGGCCTAAACTTATAAAAAAAGCAGAAAACCGCCTAAAAGAGCGGCTACAACGGATGTAGAAAACCGCTTGAGTCACCTGCATTTGTGTGAAAATAACCGCTTTGCCCGCTAAAAACCGCGGTTAGCGGCCGCCTACACTATTTTTGATATTGTTCGAAAAACTGCCTAGATCCGCCATGCTTTATAAGAAAAACACTTCCAGATGCGGTTTTCTCCAATCAGAGTTGAAACCGGTCCGGCAATCCGGCTCCGGACCGGACAAGACAGCTTTTGATCGTAATTGGACTGTAATAACAATAAGACAAAGATTAATCAGATAGAAGGAAAAGAAAAGGACATACACATTCAATTTTTCTTTTCTTTTAATTATCAAGAAGCACTATTTTGGTGACTTTATTTCGTATTTGACGTTTACGTTACAAGGTTGTATTATTAATGTCAATGATTAATCCGGACATTCATACAATAGCTGGTTCGAAAAAAATAGTTACTTTGGATTAAAAATCAATCCATATACTTATCTTTTCTTTTTGTTTGTCTATGGTTCAGATTTACATGTACAAATATACATTTTTCTATTATATTCTGTGAATTTCACAGAATCGTTTCTCGTTGATACCTTAACAAACAAGCTATTGTATGAATTTATGATCTTGCCGGATTGTTGCCAGTTTGACATAAAAATGAATCGGCCGGATTTCGACCGGGCCGGACAAATTTTGAAGCTGGCCGGACCGGACCGGATGGGAAAAATCCGTCCGGTTCCAACTCTGTCTCCAATACAGTACGGCATTTTGTTTCTTAAAGTGGACTACTTTTATATTCCAACTTTTTGCAGTTTATAGCTGCTTTTTGAACCTTTTCAAAGTAGAATAACCAATTTACAGAGTAAGTATATATCCGTTGCAATTAGTGACAGAATAGAGGTATATAACATCCTTTCTATTCACTGTCACACAGTTGCGATTTTTCTTTATTCATTTTGGGTATCAAACTTTGATACCCAAAATGAATAAAGAAAAATCGCAACTGTGTATTTGGTGTATAGACTCAATTAATGTTTGCTGTGTAAAGATCTCAAAATAAAATTGCACAAAAGTGAGAAATGCATGAAAGGTTAATGTTATAAAAATTGCGAGTATCCTCGGTGTAATATCGCTTTGCCGTTAGTGACTCTCAGGATGTAGCGATGATCAGTTCGATTCTGTTTGACGCACGGAGGATTGGGGCTCAGCCATTCCGCCTCATTCACAGAATATTAGATTGGCTCTAATAACGCACTGATTCTAGCGATAATATCTGCGGATATACATTCTCTGAAAGTCCAAGCGTGAGTGTTTTCTTCACATATGGCAAACGTTACCTTACGGTAAAACTCACAGGCGAACTACAAAATCTATTGTTGATATATCAACATTCATTACCAATATACTAACGTCTACTAACACTAATATCTATTATAGATATATCAGCATTACATATATCAGTAGTAGGTGTTAGTCTGTCAATATTTATTGTTTATACATCAACATCCATTGTTAAAAGCGAGTAAAGCAGGATTATTTTTCGGAGACACTTGCATGAAAACGGACATTTTGTATTAGCGTGCGTTTATTGGACTTTTTCTCTAAAGTGATGTTCTATTACCGAAAATATTTTTGTAGATGGTTATGACACATTTGAATTGTGAGAAAATTTTTTTTCATGATTAACTCTCAACGCTATATTTTACATTGACAGATTTGGATCATTTCATGTTTCAGATGTCAAGCTTAGTGGTTCGTTTAGATAGCGGAAAATTTGAGATAGTGGATTTACATAGGAATCCAGCAAAACTCAATAAATTAAAAATATATGAAAATATTGTTAAATAATAAAAATATTGTCGTTTAAAAATATTGGTTTTGGAACGGTTGTATGTATAGGTAAGTGGCTTTAATTAAATTTTCAAAATTCGGGTACAACATCATTAGTAGTTTTTTCTGAATGTTCGGACTAGCAAAGGAATGTTCCGAGGTGTTCTGATAATAAGTGTTCAAATACTTTTAAACAGCATTTATTTTACATGGTAGCAAGCGAATCATTATAGCACCTACCGAAAAGAATTAACAAACTGAAATAACAAAACAACAACAAAAACTTATACATCAAGTATCACCATTAAAATCAAATGCAAATCAACAATCAAGAACAGTTAAAAATGTACATCCAAAACGTCATAGACCATTTGATAAAGAAAATGTCACAGAAAAAAATAAAAAGAGTCGAACAAATAATATTTCTTCTACACGGTCATCACCATCACCATTTATGTCTTTAACTGCAAACGAACAAAATGCAACAACCAATAAAACTAATAAAATAGTTGAACAACCTGTTACATCAACACCAATCATAGATTAAAGCACAACAATACTACTGCACCATTATCACAATCACAAAAAAATGTTAAAAATAAAAATAAAAAATCAGGAGAAATAAACAAGAAAGTAACTACATCAAAATTACATGTTATTTATAATACAACAAAAGCTCAACCATCAACAAATTCACAAATAATTATTTCAAAAAGCAACAAAAATTCTTCACATAATTCTACTAAAAATAATAATAATATAACGATAACAACAACTTCATCAACAGCATCTAAATTAAATGAATCATATTTTATTCCTAATATTTTTAATGATATTGGAATGAATGACAATAATGATGATATTGATACACAAGAACATGGACAAGAACAAGATGATATATCATTGAATGAAAGTTATGATGTTGATATATATAGTAAACTGATATCTCGTGCTGTATAAACAGATAAATTTGATGTTGTTAAATTAATGATTGAAAATGATACTTTAAAAAACAAAGTCAAATCTCTTAGTCAAACAATAACAACTATGAAAAAAACACATGTTCGTAAATATACATGATTTTAAGAATAAAATTAAAGTGTTCATGTAAATCTTAATTTCAATTTTTTAATAATTTCATTTTTTTATTTTTATTCCAGGTATGTCTTAAAAAAGTACTATTGAACATTTTAAATATGTAATTGGAAGAAGTGAAACTGATCAAAATGTATGTCGTACATGCACTTTTGACACAAGTTTATCTTCTGTTTCTCTTTACTCATAAAACGTTTTTTATTTTATTAAGGAACAACATCCAACAATACCATTATCACCATCTAATTTACATGTTTGTCAAGGTACAACAATAACAACAACAGCACGTAGAATTATTAGAAAATTATTTCCATTTGAAATTATGAAAAAACATGATTTTAAACGAAGTAGTTTAAGTGATGAAGAACTAGAAAAAATTATACATGGTATGGATACGATCTTTTCCATAGAGGATGAATGTACATTATTAGGATATGGCATGAGGCTTCAGATTATAAGGAGCTATACTCCAGCTGCTTTCAAGTCAGAAGATTTTGGTCGATCTCATGGATAATTTCGGGTTGCTGCAACGTTATAATTTTGAAGTTGCGGCAACCCCAAAGTATCCATCCTGTATGTTGACCTCTATTTTCTTTAGAATTCTTAAAAGACGTCCCACGGCAAGATTCAGTGCTAGCCAATAGGATCATAATTCACTGCAAATTCTTTTCGTTAATTCTTCGTTCAAAACTACCTGCGATATCTTAATTCTTAGGATTTAAGTATTTTGTTTGAAATTTTCTATAGAATTATCAAGATTTAATTACGGATTATAAGAATACATAGTTTTCAAACCAGTAAAATTGGATAAAAAAGAAAGTAAAACTCATAATTTATGCTTAAAACTGCATTTGAAGATGAATAAAACTGGTTTAAAAAAATATTTTTTCAAAACAAGAGTTTTCTCGCTACGCTTTTTTCACAAGAAATTCTTTTCTCTTAGTGCATTAAATAATAAATGATCAACAATATTTATTGATTAGTCAGTTTTTTCAACATTGTTTTGCTTATCTTATCAACAATTAGTATCTATTTAAAATAGACATGTGTTTAATTTAGGCTTCCGTTGAACTAATCATAAAATAAACAATTTACATAAAAAATGGATCAGGTTATGTGACCGTAGAAAGTAGATGTTTAATGTCTGCAATATGCTTCACATATGGTTTTATTCAATTTTTCTCTATCGACAGAGATATTAAATAAAAGACTCGAATTAAATAGTCAAAATACTGGAAGGTAGCATATACTATTTTTTATTGAATAAATTTTATGCTATTTTGGTCAATTAACAGAAATTTCAGTGTTTTAGGCAATAAGTTTGTTGCAAGTATAAATTAAATTTTACGTTGTGTTGTTTTATTGTCTTGTAGAATATGTTCAAATAAAACATAATGAAGAAGTTGATAAAGTCAAATTTCGACGAAGTTTAGCTGATATGTTATGTCAAATAAAAAATGAATCAAAAAAGAAATCTGAAAAACAACAATCAAAAGAACAAACGAATGAAAATTCTGATAATAATCAGTCAATTACACATCGAAGTCGTCGCAGTAGTAATAGTGATTTTTAATATGTGTATTATTTTTGTTTGTTCTTCTACTTGTAATAATTTATTTTTAATCAAACACACGGAAAAAGTGCGTTGTTTTGTTATTCTGGACTTATTTTTGGCAATGGAATAACTTAAAAACCGGTGGTCTTTTATGCATATATTTTCATAAAATAAAATTCATTTACGACTTTCTTTTTTTATTCGATTTCAAACAGGCAAAAGATTTGCTGAAACGCTTTTCTGTCCATACAATTAGTTCTAAATGGGTTTCTTCTACTTTCTATTGGACTAATATTTTTGAAACCTGTTCAG